CAGTTCAAATATATGATTTTCATATATTCACAACCGTTTAATACCATTATCGGGACAAGTTTTTACTGAGCACCTACCCATCAACCCTAACCCTAACATCAGTATCCTTATTAAATGAATAAAAATGAATGAATAGATAAATAAATAAATTAACTGATTAATAAAAGAAATGAAGTCGTTGGTGCTCTTAGGTATATTCTCGAATACAGATCTCAAGCATCGAGTAAAGATGACTGAAGAGGACAAGAATGGAGAGATCTTATGTTCTCTTTTAACGATATAGTGACGTTAAGTGCAAGTAATTTTGTTAAATCACACACCTGTCAATAATTTTATTTTGTATTGGGTCTGGGGTGGTGCTGTGTAACCAGGCCGTGTGACTGTAGCGCGATCTATGTCTTGGGTGTTTCCTTGCCATTGTCTTCACGAACTTGAAGAGATCATTCGCGTCCATTTTTCTGTATGTGTCATAGCTCACGGCTCCTATGCATGAAACAAAGACAATTTTGATCCACCGAACGGAAAGTCTTAAGATTTAAGGAGTTGACTGAGTTACATGTATTATCTTCATTGACATCATCATTGCGCAGAAGCATTACATATCGACATTCCTATCTTAGCAGTATGGAAGTTAAACTGCCCAGCCTGCCACGATACGTCTCCTATAATACAGTGGTAGACCATCCGAAGTACCGATATGAAGGTGTCAGGTTCAGCTCCCATTAAGAGTACTCGGAGTTCTTTTTCTCCGAGTATGCCTGTATCATTCGCTGAATAAAATCGTCTTTCACCACAAAAATCTGATTTCAATAAGCTATCGTTTTCTAACCTAGACAAACTTTACATGTTCGACGACAGTTTCTTAGCATCCAGTTAGCATGATCTGGGTGGAGGCATTTTCCTTCTTTTTCCAGAGAAGAGCAGTTGGCTGCCAGGTCTTCACATCCACAGTTTCCACACGCTTTCCTACAGGTGAGTAGCATCCAAACTGGAAAGTTCTCACATTCTCCGTCCTGCGCGTATTTGGAGCAATCAGCTTCATTATCATCGCAGAGGAGGCCTATAAATTAAGGCTTTTTTTAGTAAGAAAAGCTGTAGAGCCAGTGGAAAAAGCAAAGAGACGATAAAAAAACAAAACAAAAGAACATTACACCAGAGATCAAAATAGAAAAAAAAACCGTAAAATTGTTAAACAAATGCGCATTGAAAATTTGTTTTTTTTGTTCTCTTCTACTGGCGGTCTTTCGTCACAATTTAATTAAAGATGATCTTCTCATATTACCATATCTCGTGTTCGTACCTCCCAAAAAGGTGGGCACGCCGTGAAAAACAATATTTGTTGGATAGTGGGAGGGGAATATTTTTTTCCTACAACCTGTTTAATCAACTTAGCTTAATTTTTTTTTCAGTCAGGTCAAATTTTGATGTTTACATAGCAAAAGCCGCGTGCTTTTTAAAATTGCTTTTATCAATAGTACTTACCTGAACCAAACTGTGTGACGTTCAAATCTAAAAACCTGTAGTTGTGCCAGATAAAACCAAACAAGGATACGATTATAGCAAGCGACGTAATAAATGTATGTAGATTCACGATAGGTGAAGGATCATCGGGAATGTATATTTGATATTAGAGAACATTCGTCTTAAGAGCATGGGCATTTATAGGAAAACACAAGGTAACTGTACAGTGAACTGTTGAAGGTTATCTGGTTAGTGCACTTAACCGCATGTGACATGACGCTTTTTTCCATTTGACTTCAAATATTTCCAACATTCACTATTATGTCAAATACTTGCATCTCTTGTAGATCTTGTTCATCCAAGTACATGAAAAATAATCTTTCTACTGCCTTACTGAACTAAAACAAAGACAAAACATAAAAATCGCAAACTTTAAAAAAAATTGACCACAACTTTTTTAATTTCACCACAAAAGCTTTCGCGCCTAGAAATAAAATCAAAACTTAAGAAAACTTTTTTATCCTTCTTTGCATATTAATTTTGTTTTTGCTTTTCGCTGAAGCGAAGATCTGGAAGTGAAATTGTTCTCTCTTCATACAACATAATGACCCAGTAGAGGAAATAACAAATTTCAAATGTAGCCAAAATATTGCATTTGCAAATTGGATATTCAGTCATAATGTCTACAAAACCCTTCGTTGCTGACCACAAAGGAAGTTTAAACTTCCTGCGTTATAGTCGTCTTGCTTATCATGAGATCATAATTTTACTTCTTTAAGCCATTTGTAGGTTCGTACGGCAAAAGTTTTGGGCTGTTGTATATTACGATTACATTGATTGTACCTCATATCCCGTGAGTATACCATCCTCATCACGGTCCAAATCATCAAAGTCAAGAACCCTTCCATCTGAAAAGCCAATCACAAAAGTAAACTAAAACTGACAGGAGAAAGTATGCAATCATTCATGAATTATTTCAATGAGCACTAATAAGCACAATACTTGACCCAGCAAAACAAATGTTACTAGCTCTGATCCAGGCGAAGAATCCCGCAGGAGAAAGATTGTATTACTAAACTTTTAGGTTATCAAACTCAGCAATAGACTAGTGAAAAAAAATTTGCTCCACTTACCTTCACATACCTCACAGCTCTGCTGGCAGTTTTTTAACATATACCCAGGATTTTTCTCACATTCTCCATATTTGGCCCATCTCACACATCTGTAGTCATCGTCATAACAACTACCTATACAAATCGACAATTAAATGATATAGAGACTAATTACTAGAAAAAGAAACTCTTCTTAAAAATAAACATCTACTATAGAGCCGATCCACTCACTCACTAACTAGTCAACTGAAACACAGTGCACTCGAGCAAAGAAAAGAAGCCTAAATATTTCAGGCTCGACGGGATTCGAACCCAGGCCTCCCAGATACTGGTTGGGTATTATCACCAACTGAGCCAAGAAGCCACTCGTTGCTAATGGCCTAACTAATATCTGGGAGGCCCGGGTTCGGATCCCGTGGAAGCCAGAATCTGCTATTTCTTTAAAATTACAGTCCACCTACGAGGGTCATCTTTCTTTGAGTTTTACCCTCAAGTCAAATAACAAAAAGTTGTGATTGCGCGTAAGAGTTGTTTTTTTCTTTTTACTCACTAGCAAACTTATCTTGTTCCTCAGGCAAAGCAACTTCGCTCAACTCAAGTCCTGTTTCCTTTGCTTTTTGCATAATATGCTGGCATTCCTCTTCAGTCAAAAAATTTGGTATCTCTAAAAATGAAATACAGAAAAGCCACGTTTTATTCCCTTCCCTTTGATTTATATTCATCTGCGTCATAGTCCTCCCACGGTGGTTGTCAGTTATTCAATTTACATCTATTTTTAACACTCTCGAATTGATAAAAAAAACATGTGTTATGAATGCTCCATGAAAAAAAATTAGGAACGTCTCAAATTGCAAAATATTCTTCTACCAAAGTGACTTTATGACTGCCACCTGTGTTTTCATGATCACAAACGTTGACTCCATTACAACCATTCATTTCATTGACGGGTACTCTCTCTCTAGCTTTAATGTCACGTGTCTTTTTTCCACAAGCAAGAACTGAAACGTCTAGAGCGGCCTAATTTGTAAGTTTTGGAGGTATCAATAACCAGAGAAATGAGTACACTGAAGTCTCCTAACTTTAATATGAAAACGTAAAACGTACCAAAAACAGGAGGTTTGAGTGCTCGAGTGATAATTTTGTGGGTTTCCCCTGCAACTAAGAGCTCATGACTCACATGACCGACCTGCAAGAAAAATCGTTGAAAGAGTATCAGAAAGCTTAAAGTCTAATTCGCTGAGAATATTTTAAAACTGCACTTTAAAATGACGAAATAATTATGAAAGCCACCACCAAGTGAAGTCAAAAGTCTGGGTTAATAATGAAAATAATTTTGCAATGTTGCTTACCACTGTTTGAACTTGTTCTTCATAGCTAATAGGCAATATCTTGAACTAAGGCGAAACGATTCTTGTGTTTACAATATCAATTAGACATCGATCGTATTTGAGATAATGGAAAAGCCTTGGAAGTTTCAAAAGACAGTAAGCTACCAGCACTGCTATGAATACTCATGCAGGTCTTACGTGAAAACGAAGCAGGTAGCTGATTTCCACCTACACAAGGAAACATCGTTTTGACTATAATGTACTTATAATGTTTAATCTATTTTACCTCGGAGAGTAAAATATTAAGAATAGATATCATTACTTGCGAAGGAATATCAAGGAGTCTCAAGTCAGGTTAACACTTTAACATTTAAAATCATTTCTAATATACGTCGACGTCCTTTTCACGTGTATTGCAGGCTGTAATTTTTAGTTTATTTATCAGATAAGTTTAAATAGTTGGAGGAAAAATACCTGTTTTCCATCTATGCGAACGAGTTTTCGTTTCAAGAGTGGCTGTCTTTTGACGCTGCAAGTACCTTGCTGACTTGATACATTCGCGGAGTAACATTTCTCCTTTGTCACAATATTTGGCGGATGGCTCCATTTTACAGACAAAGCACTAAGTAAAGTGCAGCTTAGACATAGGATAACTATCGCTTCTGTCAAAATTAGGCGCATCTTAAAGCTCCAACGCCAGCTAAGATTATCAAACTGTCAAATTAAATTCAGCCACTGCGAAACTGAATTATGTCTTGCTTAGGTAAAAAAGACTTTGCTGAAACAATACTTACACCTGTTGCTGAATCGACTGGACGGCAACAGGTTTGAAGCAAGTCACCCACGATTTATGCAAATGAATAGCATTATTTCGTCGTTATCCTTTTGCAACATACCACCTGGTAGTCAAAACATTTTCAGACCAGAATTCCTAACTCATGAGGTTCATGTTTCCAAGTATAACTGTAAATTATTATCACTTTGTCGGGCATTGTGGCGTACTGTGCCGGCTGGAATGGAGGTTTTGGCGTGCTTCAATGTATTTTGGCCCGCCTGCATGCTCACGTGATTGTTTAGGGCTGTTTTGTTGTCATTTTTCAGTTTTTATTTTCACCCTACCCTCTAAAGCGTTGCTGATAGTAATATAGTATATACTCTTGGCCATAAATACGTTTTGGGACTTTTAACTCTGGTCATTTTAACCCTGAATTGGGCCCAAACCATATTCACGCCAACTAACACAAATGCTATCGTTCTAACAATGGTTTAAATACCGCTAGTAACTCTTGATCTGTTCATAGTTTAACGTATTTCCTTTGAATCTCTCTTGGAGAAAATAATTGATCCAGTTCAACAAGACCTGCAACAATTTTTTTCCCATTCGTTTACCATCATCAGTAAAGTAGAAGTAGAATTCGGACAATCGTAGAGTATAGTTAAGTTACAGATCTTAGTTTCTTTTTTCCGCCCATCTCTCAATAATTAAATATCTTTTGACGCGACGCTCATTTCAATCAAAAGCATAACTTAAGCCAAACAATTATCCCAAAAGCAAAATCAACATTTTTACCGCGATGATGCTGTTCTTCATAGGCCCGTTAACAATCTTTATCGTGCGAAGAAAATTAATCAATTTTTCAAAATTAAACAAAGGGGATTGCCTTTTAAGCAACATTCTTATTATAACTCAAAATAAGAATTTTACGTTACTCTTGATTTTTTTAACTTCAGCCAAACTTCTAGACACTTAATTAATGACTAACGCATTCAATCTCCACGTAAGAAATTTGAGGTCGACGATATGACAACACTTTCATTAGTGGTTCCTCGTGAACAGCGTGAACAGACATGTAAATAAATCTTCGTCGCCACAAATTTAGCAAACCTTCTTGCTATTGTTTCAAAAAGAGAAAAAGAAACAAGGCCAATAAAATTTTCTCATGCAACCAATAATTCTGGAATACCCCAAAAATAGAAAAAGCACTGCGTACCGGATTTCAGAGCTCAGCGATGTAGTCCAAAATTTTAATTTTTCTCAATTTCTTTGTAATATATTCGCGTAAATTGGAAAATCTACGAAGAATATTATCCCGTTTAACTTACCCCTGTGTACAAATATATCGTCATGTTCATTGATATTTCACTCAAAAGTTTTATGAATGAAGGCAATGTCATTATCAGAACCTTGCAAATTGACGCTCGCAATTATTGCTTTTTTCGAAAACTTAAAAATCTAGATTACCTCATGAGCCAAAACTTTATAAAACGGACAGTACGCATACAATCTTTAATTAAAGCCGTCAAAAGTCTGATCTTCGGCTTTTAAATGTAAATAAACAGAATTGCTCTGATCAAATAATCCTTTAATTAACTCTTGCGCGGAGCAGCTGCAGATGACTTGTAAAATCAAAAAACAAATTAAACTCATCATTAGTGCTGAGAGGATAATTCAGCCGTGAAACACTAAGAACATCTTCACCGAAACATGTAAAGCATGAACCTAACAGAAGGTAAGAAGATTTCTGTTATCTCTCTGGTTTACAAATATGAATCTTGTTTGTGGCCCTCGCAAGCGAAGGTGTTTTCTGTTGCCGGTTGGTACACCTTACAGATTATGGTCCACTCACATTTTTTTTGCTTTGATCCTCGTTCGTGAGAAATGACTTAACTCTTTTTAACATTTTTTTATTATTATCTTTTTTTTTATAACAAAAGCTCTACTTCTTTTTTTAATTTATTTTAGCCGACGATTTTTCACTCGGAAGTGAAATAAGCACCCAATTGACAATAACCCTCATCGAAGTAACTTGCAAAATTGCAATCTTTTAATTAGAAGGTGACATATTGCTCCTACCTTAAAGCCTCTAGGTTTTTATTTTTCTTTTCTATTTTTTCTTTTGCCTTTTTTTGATGGCAGTACTTTTCCTTTCTTATTTGCTCAATCCAACCAACGGGGGCTCTTTGCTTTTTGACTGAAATGTAGATGAACGTGCCAAATTCAGTTTTCTTTTACTTCCCATCAGTTTATCTGCCAGACCAAAGATTGTATGTTTTTTTAAAATTTCTTCACTGATTCAAGCTGTGTATATAATTGTTTTTAAAATGCAATCACTGCATGACGGTAGACGAAAAATGTTTTATATTGGAACATACTGAGATTCATAATCATTATTCGCGAAATTTTTCGTGTTGAAGTAAATATCGACCGAATTAGCTGATGGCCCATCAGTTGTTTTCCATATTCATGTGTTTTGAATCGTGTCATCTGTTGAAAAAGAATGGCTGTATGCAAGTTATCAAGATTAATTTAACCACGATGAGATTGTTACGCGACGAGTGTAATCTGATTTTTACGTTTTATTTTTTTTATTACTATTTGCTAACTACGATGCGGTAAAAAAGAAATCGACTTGGTATCTCAAATGAAGCAATATGACTTGGGGCTTTTCAGCATAATCCCAATTAAATACGCTTTGTCTGCCAATGCTTTGAATATATAACTCCAACTTTTTTTCAAAATGGCTAGAATCATTTTGTTATTTTGTTTGGCGAAAAGCCATGGATATCCGTTTTACCTTAATTTCGCAAGTCGTAATGATCTCTGAAACAACACCCAGTAGTTATTTGACCATTCAAGGACCATCATACATAAGATGAAATGCGGCTGTTCGTCAATGCGCATAATAAAAGTCTTCTTTCATTCCTTTTGTGCCATGATACTGAATATTCATCTTGAAACATGATTCATTTAAGCAATATACTTCATCAAAATAAACTTTTCAGAGAATATCTAATTTTTAGTAACATTTGTTTGATGCAGAGAGTAAGAGTTTAGCGGCTAAAGACAAATAGATGTTGACGAGTATAATAAACAATTCCCACTCAGGATCTAACTAGGGATTTACGGGTTGGAAAAATTACCTGTAGTAGCAATGAAAAATTTATATCATTAAAAGATTTTAAGGAGGAAACTGTCTCAAAAAATGCTCGCCTTTTTTCATCGTAAATTGCAAAGAGTGAAAAAAGTTGATTTCCGAAACTGAAAACATAAATTGGCCACCGTGAAGAGTTTAAGCCTTTAAACTCATTACGATGGCTAACTTACGTTTCAACTCACTTGATGACACTATCCTGTTACACTCTCCCACCGACACAGCACCACAGTTTCTTTAGAAACTTATCCCCTTTATTAATTTCGAAACTGTCCAGTAGTAGGTAATAATCATAAAAGGAAATTGTCAGATGTTAAATGATATGAAAACACGTGTACACCAAGCACATTTAGTTCATCATTAATCCCGACGCTGAAGATTCATCTCAAGCTATATACTTCACTAGAATCAGATTTTCGGAGAATGTCTCATTTTTGATAACATTTGCTTGATAAAAAAAAGTAAGGGGTTTGTTGCTAAAAATAAATAGATGCTGACAAGCATAATAAATAATTCACACTCAGGTTCTAAATTTAGGATACATACCTGTCAATGACTGTGTATGCCAAACGTTCATAAACCTCTTTCAGTTCCCCACTTTGTAATTCAAATGCGGTGCAAATGAGTAAATCTATTTACAAAAACAATGATTAAGAAGTGATAACGGGTTAGAGCAATCAAACAAATTTTGAATTTCTTTCAAATTAGAGCAGCTGCTTCAGTTTCTATCGGTCGTAGGAAATGAGCGTTTACAGAACAGCGCTCGGCTCATTGGATACTGGTCACTCGAAACCGACTCTAATTTCCTTCAGGCATTAGTAGAGGAGTTCATGCCCCATCGACAGGACAATGAATACAACTGCAGGGTGAAATGGTGATTTACAGGTTGGAAAAATTACACATAGTAGCATGGTAAAATTTATATGATTAAGAGATTTAAGC